GAGTCGAAACTAGCTCCAGAAACGAAGGAGGCTTCATCCGAGGCAGACCAAAAGGTCGTGCTCAAGGACATCGACGAATCAAAAGGCAAAGTCAAAGCAGACGACGAACTCAAATCAGAGAAAGCTTCTGAAGTCCCATCAGTTCCTGAGGCCAAAAAGGACTCTCCTGTCGCCTCACCTGATACGAAGCCCGAGCCCTCAAAGGCCAAAGGCCACGAAGAAACCGACGAAGAACGCATGGAGCGTGAAATCGCTGAGATGGAGGCTGAGATGGAGGCAGCTGCGCGTGAAGAGGAAGAGCGCGAACGTGCTTTTAACGAAAAGAGGAAGCGCGAGGCCGAGGAGAAAGCAAGGATTGAGGCTGAGATGACTGGAGATGATGCGCTCAAGCGTTTGGAGCGCGAGGCCGAAGCACGCGAAGAGGAGCGTCTACGTGCTCGTCAAAATGGCGGCACAGTGGATACATCGGCCTTTGATGCCCTGAAAAAATCCGCGCTTGGCCCGGCCGCTTCTGCCAGCAATGACACCAAGGCCATGCCACCTCCACCTGCGCCAACAATATCGGGCACCAAACCCAAACCAGCTCATTTGAGACTAGAGACTTCGACCCGAGTGGATGCCGGCGAACCGACCCCTGGCATGAAATCGGTTAGGACGTCTCGATTCTTGGAGATCAAAGAAGAGGCCCGGTATCCAGAAGGCGTGCAATCGCCGAATCCAGCACAAAACGCCGGCAAGGGCCACGCGTACGATGCAGCTTTCTTGTTGCAGTTTCAGAACATCTTTACTGAGAAGCCTTCGGTTGACTGGGACCAAAAAGTCAGGGATACTCTTGGGCCAGGTGACTCAGGATCGTCGCGCGTGCAGTCTTCTAGAGGGGGACCCAGTATGTCGTCTAGGCAACCTTCAGCGCGATCAGCTTCCATGGCGACTCCGATGGGCCAGTTTGGCGGAAATGGGCGAACACTACCTTCAGGAACCACATCTCAGCAGCGTTTCCAAGCTGCAAAGGATTCACGCGGTCTAGGGATGACAGGTGGTCGTGTACCGAGCGCTGGCATGGGATCTTCAAGCATTAGCATGAGTAGGACAGGCTCAATGCCGACAGGCATGAGTGGCACCGGTACATCTAGGCAGGCCAGCTTACGTGGGCCCAAGGGAAGCAGCAGAAGAGGTGATCGGGGAAGCAAGAAAGAAGAGGCCGAGTTGGCAGCCAAGATGCCTCTGACAGCGCACATGGAGATTGCTCCTTTGGCAAAAACGGCGACGGGTTGGAAGCCTCTTAGCTTGATGCAAGGTGCAGGCAACACACCGGATTTAAGTGGTCATATGCCGCCAGAGATGGTACAGCGCAAGGTGAAGGCGGCCTTGAACAAGATGACACCGGAGAACTTTGAGAAGATTTCAGACGACATCATGGCAATCACCGCACAGTCCAGAAACGAGGCCGACGGTCGTACGTTGCGCCAAGTCCTTCAACTGACGTTTGAGAAGGCTTGTGACGAGGCTCATTGGGCCGGCATGTATGCCAAGTTTTGCCGAAAAATGATGGACCACATGAGCCACGATATTCATGATGAGAGTATCCGGGACAAAGAAGGAAACGTCATCACTGGCGGCCAATTGTTCCGCAAGTACCTCTTGACTCGCTGCCAGGAAGAATTCGAGCGCGGCTGGAAGGTCAATCTCCCACAGATGCCCGAGAACGAATCCGAAGTGGCCATGATGTCGGACGAATACTACGCTGCCGCTGCTGCAAAGCGTCGTGGCCTGGGACTCATCCAATTTATCGGTCAATTGTACAAGCTTAAGATGTTGACGTCCCGCATTATCCACACTTGCGCGTACAAGCTGCTTGACTTTGAAGAACATCCCGATGAGGCATCTGTCGAGAATTTCACTACCTTGTTACGGACTGTTGGCGCAGCGCTTTCCGAGGAAGAGTCCTTCCGTACCATAATTGACATGTACTTTGAACGGCTAAGCAACCTCTTTTTGCCCAGCCCTAAGCTGAGCCAACGTGCGAAGTTCATGATTATGGACTTGCAGGATTTGTACAAGTCAGGGTGGAAGGGCACAGCTGACAAGGGTCCCAAGACGATTAGCGAAATCCGTACCGAAGCTGCGACGGCCCAAGCCAAGGCGGAGGCAGAGAAGGCGCGGACGGGCCAGCGTGGTGGGGGTGGTGGACGGATGGGTGGTCGTGGTGATGCTCGTCACATCTCCGGCGTGGGACCACCAGTTGATTATCATAGAACTAACGTTGCTGCCGACGATCTCAGGCGGCTTCAACGCGGCACATCTAACCGCACAACAGGCAGCGGGCTTGGTCCAGGTGGAAGTCTAGGCCCCGGTGGCGGATTGATGAGCACGCGCACAGGCAGCCGTCGTGGACTCGGCATGTCTGGAGCAAACTCGAGCCGAACAGGCACACCACCTGTCAACGAGAAGAAAGAAGAGCCTGCTCAACAAAATGCATTCAGGTAAGACAGATCTCTCTCCAGGAAGATTTGTTGCTAACATGTTGAAGTGCTCTCGCAAGTCTTTCCGGAGACGGGGAAGATATGGAGGCATCGGAACCGGCCAAGTCTCCACCAGCAGACTCCTAAACGGCCTTAGATACCCATTTCCTTCTTTACTGTGTTGACACTAATGTTTCCCTTGTGTAATTGTATGGCATGGGCACTGCTTCAGGAGCATGGGCTACACTTTCGGGCTTTGTTTATTATTAGGTGACAGTGCTGGCGTTGCAATCAAAAAGTTTTGGAATGTCAGATTGAACAGAGAGTTAGCTGTGGCTACTTTTATTACTGTATCTTTATAGTGGTTTAGGCTTTCAATGTGATAGTGTTGCAGGTACATCGGCTGGGAAGAGCTGCGAAGTCCTTCAAGCCCACCATTGAAGATGGCATTGAGGTAGGAGTCTTCGAAGATCAAGATTGAATGCAAGTTTGGCTGTATCACTGCAACGTAGTAAAGTTAGTTGAACTCTGATAGGAATGCGGGTATATCGACTTGGGAGAGCAAGTCTGTCATTCAAAACTCGAGTTTGGTTAATTCTATCAATGTACTTTCATGGCATCAATTCGTCCTGTTCCCCGACTGCTAAAGATGGCCATGATGCCGAATCCGACGTAGAACAGCGCAAGTGGATATGCCACTAGACCCCTCATATTCGTCATGCGCCCGACGACGCAGAACATGGCAGAGCTGGAGTATGTGCACCAGGCTATAGCCAGCGTGACGAGGGCGTAGCCCGCAAGACTGTCGAGAGGAAGCACGACGCCGAGCCCGCTGGCAAAAACAAGCGGAAGCAGACAATAGCCCAGCACGGAGCTGCTGCGACCAAACGACAGGGAAGAGCCCCCGTGTACGCTCTGTACATCTTCGCCTGTTGGGGGGGACGACATCATGGAGAAGATGGAATAAAGAGATGCGGCTCCAAGGGCTGCCAGACCACACACGTAGCCGAACCACAGCTTTCCAGAGAGCAGTAGAAAGGTGCCGAACAGGGCGCAAAAAAGAAAAGGCCCTGCCAAGTCCGCATCGTCCATGATATTGTTGTCAATTCGCGCCAATGGATTGAGCACAGCCAATGTCTATTTTCCTCTCCTTAGCCCTTTGGGAGGACGCTCAGTTTGACCTTTGAACAGCTTACCTTTGTCTGAATATGTCTGAAATTAACTCCCAACTCCTCCAGTAGAGGGGGTTCCCCTTCGTAGCCCTCGGTTCCAAACGCTGCAAGCCAACCCGTCCTCAGTCCACCTCCGGTATTGCTCCCCATCTGCCCACTAACGCCTCCAAAGCCATAGTTGTCCCCGTACACTCCCGAGCCCGCGCTCGCGCCAAACGATTGCGGCTGTGGGCTTGGGCCATTGATCCCGGACGCAGACGGATATGTGGACTGGTAGAAGTTTAGATTATTGACAGCGTATGGCGGGGATGCAGCGTAAGGGTATTGCGACATTGTTTTTTTCCTTCCAGAAACTGCTTTCCACTGCGCAAGTTGGGGGGTGACGTGCGGAGAAGTCAATGTCGTGTAAAATACCGTAAAGTCACCGTCACACACTCTCGCGGAGAACCGAACAAGTCACTGCGAAATAGTCCAGGCAATGGGTTGGTGGTGGTCCTTTTCTTCTGATGATAAATCCAGCAACAGCTCCGTCGCTTCTTTGACAGATGGGCAAAAGGAGCGCATCTTTGGCGTCTGTCCACAACCACAACCGCAACCGCAAGGCGCAAACCCCAACCCCAACCCCGACGAAGAATGGACCGCCCTAATCAAATCTTTCGAAGCACCCTCCTCCACTCCAGAACCCAGCACCCAAACACCAAACCCCCATCCCCCCGAAGATAAACCCCAACCCCACGACCGCTACCTCCCAGACGGCAGTCTGAACATCCACCCGGACAGCCTCTACCCAGTAGCCATGTCCTGCCGGCAGGCATTCGACCAAGTCTTCTACTGCCAGTCTCTAGGTGGAAAGTTCAACGACGTCTACCGCTTCGGCAGCGTGCAGGACTGCTCTGATCAGTGGGCTGCATTTTGGTTCTGCATGCGGAACCGCACAATACCCGCAAAAGATAAGCAATGCATGGTTCGGAATTTTTACAAAGAGAGGGACGAGCGGAGGAAGAGGGAAAAAGGGAGTAGTGAGGATATCTGGCCCTTGAGGACGAAAGCCCTTGAGAGGGCGTTTGATAAAGACCCGGGGTTTTGAGCTGGCATTACATATGGAAGGGGGTGATTACTTTGTTGTCTGATCAACTACGAAAGAGGCAGAGGGTTGATAGCCGTATAACTACTGTACGAACTACAAAGAGACACGACTGCTTTTGATCGTGTACATCCGTAATATTGTATGTATAACTTACCTTCATGCTACTCTACAAACAGAATACATATGAGAGGCCGCATTGAGGGGGCGAACGTTTGTGTTGTGTTTTTTCGTCTACGGTATGAATATAATAAATATTCCGCCCAATGAAAGTATGCAACAGCGAGCGTGGTGCAGTTGGTTACCACATCTGTCTAACAGAACGTGGCTCTGGGATTTCAACTCAGAGCATACACCTGTCAGTGCACAGAAGATCCCCGGTTCGAGCCCGGGCGTTCGTAGTTTTTTTTTTCTGTCAAAATTCCTCGTTCGCCATCATAGACTTCGAAAATATCAAATCAGGAAAATCTTGGCGGTTTTATTTTTTTGTCTATAATAGCTACTATTAACGCGGCATGTGAATGTAAGAAATCCTGTATGGCCTAAATTGGTTGTGGCGTATCATCATGGCTCGTCTCCAGGCACGATCTGGATTCCAGGCTGGCGGTGGAGGCGATGGCCAGAATTCCGGTTGGTGGGGGGGTTTCTTCCCAGATCTTCTCTCCATAGTAAGGTCGCTCACATTCGTGTGGTGGCTTTTCGTCGCATGGTGGGCGTTCTTCCCAACTATCTTCATTATATGGTGGCTGTTCTCCCTCTGATTGTTGTCCTTCGTTTGATGTCCCCCCAGTATTCCCACGCATTTGGAAGATCATTTGCATGAGGAGTGTTATGATCAGGAGAACGAGGAGAGGGACGAAGGAGAGGCTTGCTGTTGCTGGTCCTGCTGCTGCTGCTGATGAGGAGGAGGAGGAGGAGGAGGAGGAGGAGGATGACAACGATGACGACGGCGACGACGAAGGGGGCGACAACGGTGTGGATTCGTAGTCGGAATACCAGTCTGAGTCATAGTCATTAGGAAGTCTGGCTCGTGGTGGGTATGGCATTATGTCGAGGGAGAGGGGGGAGAATGGGGCCTTTTAATGGGGTAGGTGCTGGGGCAGTGACTGGTTTTTGTGGAAGTTACCTTGAGGGGTCGGATTGATAGTTGAAGACTGGGTTGCTTAGTGGGTACGAGATAGGGATTCAGGGGTTGTGAATGTGGAACGTGATGCTTTGGCTTTTTGCGGTATAGTGTACTACTGTGTTACGATGGGTAAGGTGACTGGATAGCTGAGATGTAATTGATCAGGTCGAGTTGATATCATGGTTTGTGCGTTGGTTCTCTGATACTAGATCGTGGAACTGGTTTGGTTTATAACTGTCAGATACCCACTGGTCGATAGATTACCGAGCGATATGGAATTTTAATTGGTGATGTGCTGTGTCGTTCGTTCACAGGCTAGTTCCAAGGGAGTTTTTGTAGATTCAGTGCTTACTGGCAAACCTGAAGAGGCTGGTAGTGTTTGAATAGAGAAGGGGCCGTATCGAGCGAGCCAAGACAAAGGTATAAATGCTAGGAAGTTGTTTTGTAACTGATGATCAAGAAACTAGGTATCTTCGCTAGTGAGACTTTACATATCCACTGGCCCGACGACAGACCTTTTCAACATCAAATGAGACCAGCACAAGGATGAGCGTAAGGGTAAAGAGTGAAGTGCAGCAGGATGTTCACTTGGAACCTAAGCACCTGTGCCGACGACCACCAAGAGATTGACGGCAGCTGATCTATAACTTTCAAACCCCTTCACAATTATCTCCTCACTTTTGCACATACACTAGCATTGTCCCAATGTCCACCAATCGCTGTGCATCATCTCGCTTTGCAATGGGATGACAAGAAGAAAATTGAGCAGATGAATTTGTAATTCTACAAAATATCTGGTTTACGGAATTTGCTCAACAGCACAGTGATAGGAGCTCAACTTAACTGTTCTCCTATCAAAGATGTGTAACTTTTACAGGAAGTGATTCTGTCGGAAGGATGTGGCACCCACCATGACCAGAACTTTAGCTAGAAGTCGAAACTTCTCAGGGTTTTTACCTCTATAGAGGAAGTTTTCCCTGAGAGGGGTCGTTGTATCGTTCATGCTTAAGGGCATGGTTCGCTGACGTTGTCCTAGCGAATGCAGTTAGACTGAGGTAGTGTGGAGAAGGTTTCGAAACTCATCTCACATAGAGATAGACATCTACATTCACTTTTTGGTCAGAGTTGAGTGCACACATTTGTCTTTGACCTACTTCCCGCTTATTTCTCGAAGGTTCACCCCTCCGACAGGTCCCCTCTAAAGAGAACGTCAGATATATTTATGCGGAATCTTATCATTTCGAAACAAAAATCTCTGAATATGAAAGCTTTCCGAGATGGAATATTGACAATCGCCTATGTGGAAAAATTGTGCCTTCCCTCTTAGGGAGTTCAACAAAGATATAGTTGGATGGTGTCAGAAGTCTGCCGCTTGCAGAAGGATTGTTGAGACCGAATCCGTCTCCGAATAAGGAGATGATGATATGAAAGGATTTGAGGACAAAGTCCTCTCATTTATTCAGTCAGGAGGGTTTCCTCCCAGAACATCATTCATCCAGAGATGTTCACTTTGCTCTCTGCTGAGTTATGAGTTCTCTCCTCCCCCTCTGACAGATGGTGTCTGACGGGAGGAGACCAGTCACTGATCCAAGCTAACCGGAGACATGCAAAAAACAAGGGCCATTAGAATACGTACAGCAGCGGGGATTCCCGCGTGGTCACCCACCGTAGTACTAATCCGCCGGTTTGAAGATTAAGTTCAGGAGAGCGGACGGGATCCTCTGTTCTCTGCAACCTATGGCCGTACGTGATAGGTCAGTGGGGTGGGTGGTATATGTACTTGATGTACGGATTCATCTGTCTGACATAGCTACGGCTTGGTTTAGCGACTTTATGCGGCTTGATCCAGTCACAAACACGCAGCTGAGTCGGTCAGACTGGTGGGAATCATTTACCAAAAGCCAATACGACCCCGGTATATACCCAACAGCAACTCAATATGGATTCTTTTTGAAAGTTGACAGACTTGCACCCCTGCTAGCGCCCGTGAGACAGTAGGTGGGAGAAAGGCAAAACTAGATGGGTGGTCGTCATCTCCGCAGAAAGGGCAATGGTCAAAACAATCAGTTTAATTCTCCAGAGGCTCCATAGTTTGATAATGTGCTGGAGTATTCTCAACCGACTGGGTGCTCACAACGGCTTACAGCGCATGTTAACAAGGTCCAGTTTTGGCAGGATGTCATGGTGATGGGAGGTAAGAGGTCAGCGGCAGGTGATGTTGCTCCGAGGGCATCTATCGAGCGGGTTTCACTTGTCAAGACATCATCCACAATGCACGAGGCTGGACACACCAGACCATCGCTGAGGTTGCCTCAGCCTTGTCGTTGATATACTGCAGCCTCGTCTGATTGTGACACCATGCATCATGCACTTAGCCACGACTACGTTACGCTTCAGATTGGCTGGGTCTGATTGCATCCTCTAACCATCACATACCAACCCAAAACGGGCTTGATGTTGATCGGCAAGATCGAACTAGCGTTAAAACAATCAGAGCTCTCAAGCACAGATTGACTTCGCAACACATTCAGATGATGGCTTTTGGCGGTGCAGTCGGGACTGGACTATTTTGGAGTACCGGCCAAGCATTAGCTGCTACTGGCCCTGCTGGGGCTTTGATAGCATATGTATTTGTCGGCTCGTTGGCTTGCAGCATAATCGTTGCGCTGGGCAAGATGGTGGCTTACATGCCCATCCCCAGCACACCGACAATTTATGTAACCGAATGCATTGGTCCGTCTTTTGGCTTCGTAATAGGCTGGATCTATTATCTCTCATGGTTCGGGACTTTTTGTGTCGAATCAGCCACGGTGAGCATGGTACTCAGCTTCTGGTACCAAGATACCCAAAGGGACTGGGGAATGATAGAGTTACCTCTTTTCCTGATGGTAATCATCTGCCTCGTCTGCGCTCCCTCAGTGTCTGTTTTGGGACCATTGGAGATCGGGTTTACTGGTCTCACGGAGATGTTGGAAGATAGTTGTTGCATAGCGTGACCGTTCTGAAGATTGAGTTGTACAAATTATTTCATCTGCTGTTCAGCAACGAGCTTATATACAAGTAGCTTCTTTGTTCAATCACTTTTACATATTACTCCATTGCCCCATTGTTCTCTTTATCATGCTCTTTGAGTATTTTGCTATACAGGATTCTCCTTTGTATAGTCTCTGTTATCAGGCCGAGGTATGGCACCGATACTTCTCAACAGGATATAGCCATTTCTGGTCTATTCGTCTTTACAATTTGCATCGCGGCTGGTACGGGACTCCATGGAAGAGCAGGTTTCCGTACTTGGGTAAACCGCGGTGGCTTTGCACCGTACACAAAAGGTGAAGGCATCCTTGCCTTGGAAAAACTCTTTGGTTTTTCTGCTGCTCCAGGAATTGCTGCATTTTCTTTCCAGGGAAGTAACATGGTGGCAATCGCGATGGGCGAAGCTAATGACCATCCTCGGGAACTAATTCATTCAACAACCAAAAAGATCTTTCGAATACTGGTTATCTTTGTGGGCACCGTGTTCTGTCCGAGGCTTCTGGTTCCCTACGGCAATCAGAAACTCCAAAGAGGCCGAATCTCGGTCTTCGTCGCCGTCAAAGAGTCGGGCGTTCCCGTGCTGCCTCATATCAAAACGCTCTTATGCTCTGTGTTACAATTTTAGCTGTGAATTCCAGCCTTTACAGTGCATCAAGGGTACTGTTCGGTCTTTCTAACGACGGATTTGCATGGAAATGCCTCAAACCAGTTTCGAGGTACAGCATCCCATACGCAGCGGGAATATCGACTGTAGTCGCTAGTATGTTGCCACTGATGCTCCTCGAATTCTTCAGTTGTAAAGGCATGTTTCCGGTAGTTTTGCAAAACATCACCACCATGGCGAACGCTCATATGTTGGTAAGCGTGTAACATCCCTAACACCGACCTTACTAACTTGATAAGGGTATATGTCTGGGTGTGTCTTATCTCGCATTCGGCCGGCTTCCCAAGTTTGCGAAGCTGAGCCACGTTGCTCATACACAGCTCCGCTACAGCCCTGGCTAATGTATTATGGCATCTGTTTCAGCTCCATCATCGTCATCGTTGCACCGATACCCACGTTGAGGCGTTTTAATACCGCAAAGTTCTTCGTTGGGTATGGCAGCTTCGTCGCCTCTGTGCTGCTGTGTGTCGGGCGCTGGGTGGTCTCCAAGTACATTGCGCCGATCTGGAAGAAACATGAAGATTTTATTCGAGTCGCTATGTGGAAATCCTTTGCAAGGGCGCAGTGCGAGATGACGACGGTATGTGGATCAATCTGCCCAGGTGTCTGAGGTAAATCATTGTCTCCTATAGACTACGGACAGGAAGGGAGTATACAGCGAAGAAGTGGCGGAGCACAGTGATCGCATTGGGTAAACACGGGGTGCAGACCCATAGGATACACCAGAGGTTATTAAACATCGGCGAATTTAAAACACTAAAGCGCAAATATTCTTCTCAGTAATTCGCATGAAGCGCGGTCGAAGAGTAAAACTCAGTGGTTGCATTTATTTTTGGTAGATTCGAAGTTGCAGGACATGGAAACCACACATACAACCATCGAAAAAGGACGCGCCATCTATCACGGAGCGTTCGACTTAGCTCCCCCATCCGATTGCTTACTGACACGTCTGTCTACCTTAACAAAACCCGGTGGCCACGTGCGCTACATGCGCACTCCACCAGCAGAACTTTTGCTGCTGAAGGCCAAGAATGTGAGTGCACAGGCACATTTAACACCTCTGTGCATCTCACTGCGTAATGCCAAGCCAAGCGATTCGGAACGTGCCCGAGCCGCACGCAGATCTAGCTTCATCCAACATCTATCACTTGCACAGTAGTACTTTCATCAATGATGCTCGCATATTACCCCTTTCATCTTACACTTGTCTGCAGTATAGACATTTTACAGAAACTCTAATCCGACACCGAAGCTGAGCCCCTTCCTGCCTTCCTCTCCAGCCCTTACTATTAGCGGCAAACTAAAGTTAACCTCTACACGGGCAGCGGGGTGTGCATAGACCAAGCCGATGCCTGCCGCTGTGCTAGGCATTTCCACCGGTCCTCTGAGCATGTTCGCATCAGCAACCAACCGACCGCCGTTGATAAAGGCCTGTAGGCGCAAAGGAGTGTCCTTGCCAACACGTGGGACTGGAACAAGGAGGGAGGCACCGCCAGCAACGTATGCCTCGCCCCCAACGGCATCACGGCCGTCGCGAGGTCCTAATCCAGCAAGGCGGAAGCCTCGTACATTTGTTGGTCCGCCTAGTAGGAAGCGGTCGCTGATGCGGCTTGGCTCGTTGTTAAGTGGGCGGAGAAAGCCGCCGCGGAGCCCTGCTGTTAGAGAGATGCCGCTGTCGCCGCTCTGCCCAGGAATTGGCACCGGAACAGCGGCCTGACTCTCGACTTCAAATTTGCCAAAGGCTACGTCGCCCTTTAGAGGACCCCATCCCGCAAGCTCTATTGCCGTTTTGATCAGGTAGCCGCGGCTGGGAAGCATGGGTACATCACGCGTATCCCGCGTCCAGATGTGGCCGAGACTCGACTTGAAGGAATCACCTGCTTCGGCTCTTATCGTCGGGCTCGCGTTCTCTGCTAGTCCGGTAATCTGACGCCATAATCCCCGATAGATGAACTCGTGATGACTCCAGGGTGATGTACGCCAAAGGAAGCGACCGTTACCGCCTTTGACAACCTCCTCGTGTGATGCAAAGTGCTTTAGCGTGCTACTGGCCAATCCGCCGACCTCAAGTCGTAGGTCAGGGTTGGAGAAGAGGGGCGTACCAAAGGTAGCACTGTAGGCGCTGCGGGTGCGCGTGCCCAGACTAGCATGAGCAGAGACGCTCTCGGCTCCCCCAAAGACGTTGCGCAGCTGTGCATCGACATATGCGCTGCCCTCGGCTGTGCCGGCCTCGGTGCCCGTGCGGATGGTATAGCGTCCACGCTCACGCGCATTGATGAGTACGCTATAGTCATTGGGGTTTGTAGCCGGGTCTGAGGGTTCGGCCACATCAATGTATGTAGAGATTGGTTGGTGGAAGATGTCCAGCCGCGCCAACTTGTCGACAGCCCGCGAAACCTCGCCCAACGCCTCCTTCAGGGTAAAGGAGGGGGCATCGGAAGAGACTAGATTCCGGAAGATAGGCTGAAGGAAGTCATTGCGCGTGTTGGTGGCTCCGACAACACGAACCGAGGAGATATGGACGGGCTTTGTAGAGTTTTCGACAACAAGTTGGGTCTGACGGTTCAAAGTTTTTTGGTTGAGCTCTTGCGTGCGATGTTCTACTTCCTGCTGTCGCCGGGCACAGTGATCCGAATCATGACGGAGCTGCTCGAAGATGGCCATTATACAACTTGATGCGCGGCTGCGTTGATGGCGGTCGTACTTGATTACCAAATCACGCTAAGCTCTATTTACCGGCCAACTAGCCAGCCCTAGGGCCAAAAAAAAGAGACCACGACACCGATGGGACTCGAACCCACGATCTTTGCCAGTTCCTGTTACCGGAAAGCAACGCCTTACCATTAGGCCACGGTGCCTGTATGCGACAATTGTTGTTGAGATTGAAAAGTAGATGTACGTACATTAAGAAAACTCCGAAACCCCTGTCTGAAACCACGAGATTAGCTTTGTCCAAACTTGCGACTAGCACGAGCATGGAAAAGCGACACACACAGAAGAGATCACAAGGAAGCAAACAGATGCACAAAGCAAACGATGGGTATAGTCATTATCATGCCTCGGATGAAAATTTTGTGTGTGGAATGAGGGGGCGGAGTGCGATTGGATGGGGTTTGCAGAAGGGCTTGTTGGCCCGCGATGCCGTCCGTCCAGCCTACCCAGGCAGAGACAATTAGACCAGCCCTGACTCTATTTTTCCGCTTGACATTCTTTCCCTCCACACATCCTCCCTCCTCATCCCCTGCCCATCCAACCGGTTGGGTTCTTTCCTATCGCATTCAGTCACGCTCTTTCCCTAAATTGGTCGCCCTATTCGCCCTGACCCGCCCAAGCAACACCCCTTGGTGGCGACCTGTGAGCCCAACACTTTGCGGCCTGCTGCTCTGCGACTCAGCGCGAGTGGCGGTCGTGGAATTTTACTCACTTGGGTCAAGTTCTCCTCTTGGACCTTTTAACTAAGCTGTCCACTTGATTTCGTTCTCGCACTCGCACTCGCACAACCCCATTGCCACGGCGAGACGCATGCACTTTTAGCTGATCTTTTGTTCTTTCATCGGCGCCCGTCGCATCACGAAGTACGCGAGTAGAGCGGTGCGACGGTCACAAGGCCATCACCAGGTCTGACGGTGGCCAGGCTACGACGGCCATGAACCAGGCGGTTGCGTCGCACTTCCGTGCCCACCCCATGCAGTTTCCGCTGACGCCGCCGAACTCGGGCGTGTCTCGCTACAGCAACATGCCGTATGGTGCGCAGAATCAGGCCGTTCCCTACCACCAGAGATACCATCATCCGCAACAGCTTGGCCTGGGTGGCACTCGAGTGGGCAACACGCTGCCACCAATCCGCACCTACAACAGCTACGACGCGGTGCCGACTATGCTGCCGTCGCTGCGCATAGACGACTGCAAGCAGTATGAGCGTGAGGAACCAAGCCGCGAAGCGGAGAGCCAGGGAAAAACTGGAGGCGTTGCGGCCAAGCTGGACTACGAAATGCCAATGATGGTGACCTTTGTCATTGATGCAGTGCAGTCTCTGTAAGTATCTAAACTCTCCAAATGCTACAGGAACTAACAATTACGTAGATTGCATCGCGCGGCCAACGATCAAAACGCGTTCCGGAAATGGCTGCACCAGCTACTCACCGCAACGCGCCTTCCGCTGGCCACCATCTTGCTTGGTCTGCATTATTTGGATGAGCGTGTCCAACGCTTTCCAATGACGATTTCGCGCGACGACAGCGCCATGTGCCAGTTGCTGGTCGTCGCAGTTTTGCTGGGAAGCAAGTGCCTTGACGACAGTACTTTTATCAACCGGTCATGGGCCGATGTGTCGTCCATTCCGCTGGCGAACATCAACGCCCACGAGGTGGAGTGGCTGAATCTTCTCAACTACCGCCTACACGTCGATCTCACCACTTCAGAAAGCCTGCGTGGATGGTTTGCGGCGTGGAAGCGATTCCAGATGGCGCCTGTTGAGCCAACTCGGCTCTCGCCCATTGACATGTACTACCGCCAGCCGGATCGTATGGTGTACGCAGCACCGCCTGTGGCTCCGTATTGCCATCAACACCCGATCATTGGCGTCGCAGCTCCACAGCCGTATGTACCGTACCGTCCGTACGAAAGCCCGGCCGATGCAGCGCCGCCTTCGTATTCGGGACAGTGCCGTCCAGCTGCGTACAGCAAAACTTCACCAACCTTCAAGAAGACCCCAGACGAAGCGTCGGACCGCTTCCCCAGCAACGTGATGGCTTTTGAGCCCGAGACGAAGAGGACTCATGTGACGGCCTTGACCCCATCATCCTTCCGGACCGGAGAGCGACAATGGGGACCGGCGCACCGATCTGACTGCAGCTGCCTGTCCTGCCTGCAGCTAAACAAGCGGTACTCTATGCCGCTCGGCTCAACCATGGCCGTGGCGGTTTAAATTCACTTCATCCATAGACGGCGCACACATCCCGCGCATCGGGGGTCTGCGAGCATTATACACGGAATTAGCAAGGCGTTTAATCGGAACGGGGAGAGACTAGTTTTTCAGGCGCACATGGTTTTGAAGGGCCATGACTTTTTTTTTTTTATCAGAAATTTCGATGGGTGGTGTTGCTTGACTAATGCGAATTACTCGGAGCCCCGGATGAGGCAAATTGCTGGGCTTTGATGGGAGCAACACCTAGGGCAGTTTTTCAGGAGCATTGCGGATTATGGCGTTGGGAAGGATGAGCGGTCCTGGAACGGACGAATGTTTGGGAGCAGTATGCGTTTTCTTTTTGTACCAGTCAGAGGCATAGATAGCTCCTTATCCGAACAGAATTTGTACGGCCGGATCAGCAGTTCTTTATGAGTGGTTCTTGGATGATTGGACAGGTCATCCATGAACCTACTACCCCGAAGTCAATTTGATAGAACTCTGGTGCTTTCATGAGTCGAGAGAGTTTACCTTTACCAACCCCACACACTCGGCTGGGCCCAATCTGGGTATGAATCAAAGTGAAGACTGAACAGATCCAGACGCTGAAGTCATCGTTGAACTTCAGGTTCGAGAGATACGTACTTTCGGTCAAAAGAATACGTAATAAATCATCAAATCATTGGATATCGCCTTTAATCATTTCTGGAGTTTCACTGTACAAATTCGGGATACTCAACTCAACTTTTCCCATCCTCTGGCAACAGATTCCTTGTCGGATGGATGATCTCTTGTAGAGTTCGTTGAGCAATCGAATGATTGAAGTAGAAGTTACTCGTGCTTTCTCGAAGAACTGACAACAATCATCCACAGATATGGGACTGCAGCTTCTCCGAATGTATCAGTCCAATTGAACTGGACTCACGAATGACCAACTGGACCAAAGTGCGTTTGCCTGACACATGTGACAATAATGCCTGAGGCATAACACATGAAACCTGAGGCAGCCACACACGACATTGCGCAAACTTTCAGTCGACGTAACGCGCAACGTTGCACCTGCGAAACCGAAGATGCCGTTCCAGTGAGTTAAACGACACCTTTCCTTTACGGATACTTGCTGACTATTCACCCCGCAGAAAAGGAAACAAGGTCCGCAATAGCGAATTCCTGTTCACGTTTAGTACTGACAAGAGATGACAGTTTGGTGGCGGCCGACGCAGTCGCAAATCGGAACCCGTGCGCGAGGAAATGCCCGATACTGAAATTGCGGATCTGGCTGCTGGGGAAGGTGAAGAGGAGGAAGATGTGGACGAGGAAGAGGATGCGCGAGCTTCGCAGGCGGTCGATGACGATAGCGAGTCTGGGACGGCAGCCAAGCGTGGGTCAAAGAACGTGCGAAAAGGCCGGGGAACTGGGCGCGGGGGAAGGAAGAGAGGAAGGGTCGACACGGGCTCGGCTGTTGTGCTTGACAAGGACGGACAGGCGGCTGAGGTTATAGACGATGAGGTCCAGGTCGATGACGATGCCGAGGGTAACACCAAGGTCGATGAGCTGGGAAGACTCCAGGGCGGTCGAGAGTACCGCGTGCGGACGTTTACTGTCGGTGACAAGGGCCCGCGGCTGTACATGCTGTCGACTGAGCCGGCGCGCTGCTGTGGCTTTCGCGACAGCTACCTCTTCTTCGCCAAGCATCCGAAGCTGTACAAGGTCGTCCTGGGGGAGGAGCAGAAGAAGGATCTAATAGAACGCGCCATTCTGCCCAACTCTTACCGTGGACGTAACATTGCCGTTGTTACAGCGCGGTCCGTTTTCAAGGAGTTTGGGGCGCGCATTATCGTCGGCGGCCGCCGCATCATTGACGACTACAAGGTGGCCGAAGCGCGCGAGGCCGGCTTCGTCGAAGGGGAGTTGGCCGATCCAGAAGACATAGTTCCTGCGGACAAGAACAAGTACAACCGCAACCGCTACGTAGCATGGCATGGAGCCAGCGATGTCTACCGGACATCCATGAATGTAAACGCGCACAACAAGCAGACGGCAACCGTGAAGCGCAAGTCGCACGTCACACGGGAGAATTGGCAACTCGAGCACGCCAAAGAAGCGAGGTAAGCTCATCCCAACCCCTACAACCAACCAACTAACCCAAGTAACAGCCGGTTCAACTCACGACTTACGACTATGCGCCGCGCAAACCAAAACGGAATCTACGACGTCAACACCAACCTTATGTTCTACCCCCAAACAATGCAACCCACGCACGCGAAATGGGAGCGCGTAACCAACTCCTCAAACAGCACCTTCCCGCCTCTCCCGGAGAAAATCCCCCAAAACTTCTTCGTCGCAGACATGCAATGCCTCGGCGCACCGCAGGCAGGAGCAGGCTATCCCGGGCCGGATGGGCACATCAGGGACGTTGCGTCGGGCAACGTGGGCGGCCTGTGCGGGATCGCGGACGAAATCATTGCCGAGCTCCCGCCCTCGTGTCGCAAAGCATTCCTCAAAGCCAAAAAAGTCGAGCAAGGCTGGAAGAATTACTGGTCTACAGAAACCACTGATGCTCACCGTCAGGACTTGATCATCGGACTAAACGGGTACCCTCTTTGATGTTGTGACGGCGTTGGGGGAGTAGGGGCGTTTGTTTTACTGTATTTTTATTACCTTTTTGGGGTTGTTATCCTTTGACTGGGAACTGCTTTTGTAGGAATATCATTTTTTGGGTGTGCTCTTTGTTTTCTGTGTGCATGGGGATGATGGAGGTATTAGCCGAGTAAACGGGAACGGGGAAACGGGTACGAGCAAGCCAACGAGCGCCACCAAAACCCCATTTCCCAATTCCGATTCGCCAGAACTTGTTCAACCTGGTTTCAGGCCCTCTATTCTTAGAAAAAAGGGGACATGCATGTGGCAGCCATATGGGTTGGGAAACATTTGCATTACTGCCGGTGCTCG